ACACATTGCTGACCTGTAAAAAAACAAAAGTTTAGTTTAGTACGTACAGTGACCAGAAGTAATACAGAAATATTAGAGAGTAATCAGTTTTAAAGTGTATATCAATTAAATATTAAATTATTTTATTTTACGCGTAGACAAAATAAGAAAAAATGTATGTATCGTGGGTCTTTACCTGTGACAGGCAAGGTGCAATTCTTCAAAATTTTCGGACTGCCGTCTCGAGCTGTATGCTCCATAGTTACTACTACCTTCGTGCTCGCTGCAGAAACAAGATCCATGGCACCACCCATGCCTTTTACCATCGTACCCGGTATCATCCAGTTAGCTAAATCTCCATTCTCCGACACTTGCATGCCTCCAAGAATAGTCAGATCAATATGACCTCTATGTGTGTAAAAAATACATTTATTAAACTTGTTTACTTCGAATAAATCCTAATATTTGTCGTGAGAGAGGAACATGCTAATAATTAATCTATATAAGTAATTAATAATTATATACAAACCCTCGAATCATTCCGAAGCTCTCATCACTACTAAAGAAAGCAGCACCGGGCAAAACGGTTACAGTTTCCTTTCCAGCATTGATAAGATCCGCGTCGACGTCATCTTCGTCCGGAACAGGACCCAATCCAAGAATACCATTTTCTGACTGCAACGTCACTTTCACACCCTTCGGGATGTAGTTACTAGCAAGCATAGGCATACCAATTCCCAAATTTGCTGTAAAAATTTCCGATTTAAACAGCATTGATGAGAAAATTTGATTATTTCATTCAAAATCTCTTCAGAATCTCTATATCTCCAAAAAAGTATTTAACAAGTTTATAACTTTTAAACCTACCATACATTCCATCCTTAAATTCGAGGGCAGCGCGCTTAATGATCATATTCCTCGCTTTACTAGCTGGTGTCATTTTCTTGGGTTTTATAGTTTGTTTCGTTGAACGTTTCTGCAGAAAAATATTATATTCATGAGACATTTACATAATTAAATATGCATAACGAATATTAATGAAAGTAAATAAGCGCCAACCTCAATCCGTTTCTCATAAGATGGCCCCTTCACAATCCTATCTACAAAAATGCCAGGTAGATGAATGTGATCAGGATTTAATTGACCAAGTTCCACAATCTCCTCCACTTCGACGATTGCTACTTTGGCTGCCTTGCACATCACAGGGTTGAAGTTCCTTGCCGATTTTCGGAAAATTAGATTACCAGCGGTATCGGCCTTCCATGCCTTCACCAGTGCAAAGTCACCAGTGATGGCGGTCTCCAAAACGTAATTTCGTCCATCAAATTGATTCACGTTCCTCGGCTCACCCGATATTTCGGCATTGCCGTTCTTGTCGTATTTCACAATGACGTTACCCTCCTGTACGATGGTACCAAACGCCGTGGGAGTATAGAAAGCTGGAATCCCGGCGCCACCCGCTCTTACACGTTCCGCCAAAGTACCCTAAGTGAGTAATAATCGTTATTCGATTTGTAATCATTTGCGAGATTTATGGCATAATTTTTCTCGTTTTCAAAGTGTTACCTGCGGAGTTAGTTCAACCTCCAATTGACCACTAAGATACTGCCTTTCAAATTCAGGATTTTCACCTACATACGATGCAATCATCCTTTTGACCCTGTGTTCCTTCAGCAATATACCCAGCCCAAAATCTTCCACTCCAGCATTATTCGAAACTACTGTTAAATCTTTTGAACCCTTTTTTAATATAGCTGCTATTAAATTCTCTGGAATTCCACAGAGACCAAAGCCACCAACCAAAAGTTTGGCTCCATCGTGTACATCAGACACAGCTTCCTCTATATTTTTGAAAACTTTACCATCTCCTACTGGTGTTTGCAGCTTTTCAACCTCCTGCTCCACTTCTGGGATATCAGCTTTGATGGAGAAATTAACGGCACATACCTGATAAATGAATGAAATTTAATCTAAATGTTTCAAAAATAATTTAAAGTAAACCTTTAGAAATTAAAAAATACATAATAGTAAAAATGAGAAATAAAATATACGTTCAGAGATACAGAAAATATAGAAAAATATTTTTTTAAATAAAAATATTTACAAGATAATTAAAACAACAAATCATTAAACGTGTACAATTTTTTTAAACGAGTAATTATACGCCAAAGATGTAACTGCACGATTTAAATTTATTTAAAATATATATTGCAGATAATAATATTGCAATATCTTTCATGAAACAAATAGAGAATTAAGATAACTCCGGCGTAGGTTATACGTACGTCTGATAACACAACGAGAGCTGTTTACGCACCCGTGATACTTTTATGGCACCCCGGGGACCGCCGCTCCAACGCAGAAATATACCGCTGACCCCTCGCAATGCAAATGCCATGGTCACCGTATGCTAAACGCACAATTGTTATTCGCAAGACGTATATAAGTCGGAGGTTAAACTCGAGACTTAACGTTATCTGCTCCGATATTACTTCATCAATTCTTGCTGGAATTCTTGTCTTGATTGTGTAACCTCCGTTCTCTCGTTGTAATCAGCTGTAATCAGTCTTGACGTGCCGAAATATCGTCTTGCAACAATTGTCGAGGAACTTGGCGCCGCAAAACCTAACCTCTTATCAACACCTCACGCATGAAGATGCATGGAGATGCGGACGGTGACTGGCGAAGCGGAGCGGAGCGCGCGCTGACGTTTCAATTTGAAACTTGAAACGATGCGATCAGGAACGTATTAATCCGTGTCCTCAAGAAATCGGTACTACGACTCATATGATTGGGTCGGAAATCCGTACAGAGGTATAAAAAAAAGCTCAAGGAACGATCTTCTCTGTTAAGAAACAGGAGGAGATTTCGAGTTCTAAGCTCGTATGAGAACCACATTTATATGACGGATGTTATAGCATGCATTAGCATGTAATTTACATTATATGTTATATTTAGAATTTCAGAGGTAAAGACACAAATTATTAACGTCGGTACTGGCATTATTTTTGTAAACATTAAATAAATTATAATTTTTAACAATTATATCAAATGAACTATTTTTGTACATCATAAATTGTCCTTTATTAGTTATATATTAGCCTATGTCTTCGGCTTTTGAACGACTTTTCTTTTTCGGGGCACGGAATCGTCCTAACGCAGGCCTTATCGTGAAATACGACTCTGATAGAAAACGTGTTTATTATCATGTTTACTTCGTTTTGTAACGAGGACGTCAGCTTTCAAATAACGATTATGCAGATATTAGATATTGATCTAAAAGAGGGACGATTTGACCACAACAAGTACATAAATCTTCTTTTATTTTTTTTAATTGCATTTCTTAATACAAGCTCTTTACACGACTTCTCAATAATTATTTTACCTGCAATGGACAAACTAAAAACAATATGATAAAATAATTTACGTATAATATGAAGACATGTAAAAAAATTTTGTGGATCAACATTTATGATATTTGTTGTATTAGATAATATATTTTATCGCATGTTATATTAATAATGTATATTAATTTATGAAATACTATATAAGTATTACATGTTTTTAATAAACACAAAATTGTTGAAATTTTTGTATAGTAATGCCAAAGAGAATTGGAACAGTTTGTTTCTTATACATCTATCAACAAGAGACAGCGATTTCTCCAAATATCTTCGTTATCTCAGGCATCTACCTCTACAATGGCGGTTACATTCTATAAATAGCTATCAAGAGACATTTGGTTTCATAATAAGTATTTATTCAAAACGTGTGAAATCAATAAAAATCACGCCTTTGTTATAAAGACCTTATATTTCTCGGGACTGCAGAATATATAATAATTTCTCGCACTCTTTTACGGTCACATCGCATGAACTTATGTATTAAAATATATTTATAATCCATTCTTATCATTATAATATTTTCCGAATGCTCCCCGAGGAACATTAAAACGTCTTATATAAAATATCTAAAAGCGTTCTACAATTCTTGAGAAACTTCATTATCGAAATTATCGAAAAAAAAAACAAGTTCGACACTCTTGAGTGTAAAACTTTTAAACATTCTCTGTCAAAGTAAAGACGTCTTCGAGATGTCTTTCAGACACGCCTGTTGCCTGGATTGAACTAATGAATACTAATACGGCGAGTGAATAATATTATCGATATCGCGCCATACCAATGCAATAACGTCATTCGATATTGCCAATCAGCATGTTTATATATTGTCGTTTGAAGTTCGAATGATTAATATAGATACTATAGTAGTCACTAACAGATTATACGCGTGCTTTTTATACATATGCTTTTATACATACATCGATATCGATTTGAATGAACAGAATTGTTTCGTTATTACAAGGAAATTAAGATCGGTGCTTTAATACAAAAAATAGGAAAGTTTTATATTAATATTTTTTTCTAATACAATTCTTTAATACTTTTCAAATAATATTGAAAATATTGTTATTAATTTCCTATGCAATCTGTAAAGGATATCTTCCTGTTTGCAATTTGAGTCTACGCTCTTGCCATATATGACACAATGTATGATACGATTATTACGGAGTATATTGCAGATTTTAGCCCACATCTTCGTCACGCATTTAGGATCGAATACGTCAACAATTCGATTCGCATTTAAGGAACATTCGTAAATCAAATTATTCATTGACTGCGTTCAGCAGAAAGCAGTTTTGTAAAGACCTTTAATATAATGATCTTTGTCCTAGTTCCTCATAAATCTACATGTAAACCAATCATATTAAAGAATTTTACAACAGTTGCAAAGCTGCTTTTTCTACTGAACGCAATTATTTTTTTAAATAAAAATATTCAGAGAGAAAAGTAGTTACGATTGACGCTAAACGCACGCCTATATATGTGTAGGCCTCTGAATTACGGTAACACGAGAATGAACGAACGTCATTTTCTTCAATCAGAAAATTATTCCGTTCACAGATAATTTCATCGCTTCATTATTCGACATTTGGAATCGTCATTACGTAGTCGATCCTCGCGTCATCGATGCCGGCCCGCTCTGGCATCCGTCACAGCGCCCCACAATTCGATCACAAAATCGTCAGTGAAACCGAAGTCCTCCAAGTCGGAATTGTCTATCGCTTCAGCGAAGTCTATACTGTTGCATTTACCCTCGGCAAGTTCCCAGATTTGTGTCGCTGTAAAATAAATCAGATATAACAATCCAATATTAATCTTAAAATAAAAAAAGAGACTCAGGGCGACTGTTACCAACTCCGATTAAACGCCGATTAACTTAATCGACGATTAGTCCATTGGAATTGACCAATCGCGTCTGTCGTCAAAGCTAAAAGATAAATGCGATTGGTCAATTCCAATGGACTAATCTAAGTTAATCGGCGTTGGTAACAGTCGCTTTCAAACATTTAACAATAAAACTGCATTGAAAAAAAATTGTTGCATTAATTGGAATTCTCGTATATTCAAGCAGAAACTTATAAATCAGACACTTATAAGTCTATCAAACGTTCTAATCGAGATAACCAAAAATTTAATTACAATAATTTAAATCAGAATTCTGATTTAAATAATTAGAATTTGTTTTGTACTTTTTGTTGGTGCAACCAGAACATTTTTTTAGTGTATGTACATTATATTGAACACGAAAATCAACAAAAAATCAAAATGACTTTATTTTGATTCTTAACGTCAATAGACAGTCAAAAATAAAAAATTATCGTCTTATCTGACGTTAAAGTAAAAACATTTTGATTTTCTTTTGACGGAGTGTGTCTTGAGTTTAATAACTTACCTAACTCCGTATCGGAAATGCCCATGAAACTCTCCAAGATAGTGTTAATCTTCTCAACGCCTATCGCAGCAGCATCGTCAATCTACGCAAATATTTACTTTGATTATCGTACTCAACGCGCGCAGCTATTCATTCAGCTAGGAAAGGCGGTAATATCGAAGGAGTAAATAAGTATATAAATATCAAAGTGATATCTAAATAATTCAAATATCTCACATATAACACAGGAAGCTAGTACTCGATTTACTCGTTGTTTTTGAAGATTAATATTATCAGAGAAACGTCATTCCCACTAAAAAAAAAAAAGCTATCTATTTGTTTCATGAGCTCGCCACTTGACGAGAATCTCTGATCGTTTCAATAATTGTACACACCTGCTCTACGATTTGTGCGCTACCGTCAGCCTTGAATCTCAGGGTCTCCTTGCCGGATCCGTAGCCAGGCTTTTTCCCTTTCTTGAGATCGCCACGCGGCCCGATGCTGCCGAAGCCGTTCTTCTGCGGCTCCACCAGCCTCAGCGTGAACGTCGAGCCCTTCGGTATATCCTTCAGCATCTTCGCCACCTCAAAATGCCGCCTGCCGACGAGGCTGGTCGAGTCGATCCTCTCGATGTGATCGCCCACCTCGATCACCTTTATCCTGTCGATCACGGAACCCTCCTTTATACGCTTTATGAAAGCGTAGCCGGCGCCGTTGTCAGTGATCGTCAAGCCCAACGCGTCATCCGTTTTCACCAACTCGATTTCTTTCGGTTGGCCTGCACCGAAAATGCATTAATTTTTTTTTTTTCTGCTTCATGCAACCTGCGCTTTCTATGCATGAAAGTATATAATGCTTAGTAACCTTTTTTATGTGCGAATATGAAGTCACCCACGCCGATTTGTCCACCTAATAGCTCCGTCATGTCCACTTTGTGCGTGTTGAGCGTGCAAAAGAGGATCTGGAACGTTAAATCATCTTATTTTCAACTATTAGACACTTTTAACCTACTCTCTTTTATCACCTCCTAAATTTTACGAAGTCTTTTATTTACTTAATCTTTATGTATATTAACTCCTTGCTGACATATCTTTAAAGGCAACAATATTTTGATTGTAGATTTTGACAGATTCTGTGTAATCCGAGACTATACAAAATTTTTCTGTTTCTCGAAGACCCTGATTGTTGAAGAGTTAAAATTCACATAACCGGCGGAAGAGAGAGATTAAATTTACTTTTATTAAGAGAATGCCATCTTTGCTCCAGATTTTATACTACTTCATATATCAAGACGATTTAATCGACTTAATTTCGAAGACTGATTTAAATCTTACTGCAAACATTCGGTAAAATTTAAATTGCGTCCAGATTAACTTTTCCAATTCCCTTCAACCATCATCGCGGCAAAGCGTGGTGCTGCGATCATGGTTTATTTAGTCTAGAGATTGCGAGAGAAGTTAGATCCCTCACGCTTCAAGCGATCCATAACGAGTCGACGAGCGACCTGGTTACATCGCGCCGACCGCGTTTATACAGACGAATTACACGTGGCTCTCTCCTCTTTCTCTCTCGCCTAGTCGAGACATATATCCGCCAGGTCGACGAGAGAGAGGCCACGGTCCGTGACCGGCGCTTCCTGCATCCGGTGTCGTTTCTCCCTACGTGGGATACGCTTTGCGTTGGAAACCAAGTTCGTAGTTTCCACTATGAGCGGCTCCATTACCATCAAGTCTGACGGCATCGTCCTGCGTTGCCGATTTCTCCAAATGTAAAGGAGGACTCGCGTAACTTTGCCTACATTTCACGGCATTTCACGGATTCTTACACGTACTTTAACATCTTTCGAAAGTACTTAAAGTGTTGTTAAACATGAAAAAAAGGAAGGAATAGAGTCCATTGTTTAGCAAAGTATATAATTTTAAAATAAAGTAATGCGCATAGCACGAATAACCTAAGTATATACTAGGCGTTAAACATCATGAGTACAGTCTTAAGATATAAACTAATTACAAATTACAGACTAATCACGATATTTAAGCATTTTAAAACAGTACTTAATAGCTTGTTACAGAAAAGCTTACTATACCTATTGTGTTTCAGAACTGAGACTATCTTGAAACAAGAACGAGCCATAAACAGTCATAAGTTTTAACGCGTATAACAATTAATTTTCTGCTGCAAAGAAGCAGCCCAATTAACAACATGGCCCAGTACTTCGATGTGCCTACAAATCCGATCCTTTCTTCTCTCGACAAGAAAGTATTAACTGTACACACATTTTGCGGCATTTACCGCGCAGTTTTCGCGCTCACCTCTTCCGCGGGTAGATCGTAGCGTTCGGCAATTTTCTGATACAGTTCCCGGACGTTGCTGAAGTCCGATATCAGTCCCGTGGGACTGCCGTGGGCCAGTTGGCAGTGGAAGACCAGCGTCGACGGCCGCGGGTCCCGGGGTGGCGGTCTCGTCAGCTCGTGTTGAAGAGGAGGAGCACCGTTCCCCGACCGGCTACCGGTACCGTTACCGTTCGTGTCGTTGTCATGACCATTGTCACTGCCGGCTTGATGCTGATGATGATGCTGATGGTTGCGATACTGCACACCGTTCGCAGCCTTCTCCGTTACCGGCGATCTCGGCGTGGCCCGCGCCTTGAACAATGGCATCCTCGATTCTACAAAAATTAATTGTTACACAAAGGAGTGTCCCGTTATTCACAACCCGGCGTGACGCGCTGGATTCTCATCGCAAAATTGAGTCATGATCGTAAGCGGCAGGTTGATAACTGAGAAATGTGCGATATTCTGAGTCTTCCGCGATCCTTTCCTATCTTGAGATAGAATCGACAGGATCGCGACAGTGAATTATGATGCCGCGTACTTTTACAAGATTTATATAGCTCGTACAAAAAATACCTATATATAGTTGTCGAATGGAGCAAGTACTGCAAATAGCAGTGAGATTCTAAATAATATTTTGCGTTTACTAAAGTTACTTTATACCGTAATAAGTTAATGATTCGTTACCCAGAAAAAAAAAGGCAACAAACATAATTTGCTTTATTAAAAAATTTAACTAATATAAATCTGAAAATAATTTTGTTATACTGTATCAAAATAATTTTCAGATCTGTATGTACCTAAATTTTTCAATACTTCAACATAATCGGTCAGTACGCGAGTTTCTTAATTGGTTTCGTTGAAAGAACCGCGGTAACAATTAAATAGAAATCGCAAAGTTGTAAAGATATAAGTTAACTTATAGCAATCGTTACATCGTGCGACATAATAATTATCGGATTGACAATCACTTCTGCGAAAACGCTCGATTCTCATGTCAGATGTACGGTATTGACATAAGATAAGAGAAATGAGAACCACGGGAGAGGCACACACGGTAATTGCGATCTTGCGATTCCGCCGGCCACACGTTAAGGAGATATAAAAGCATGTATCGACCACATGTTCCGTTGCCAAGAGTATCTATTATATGCTCGTTTCTTCTGTATTATATGCTTATCACGAACTTTGTACGCGAATTTACTCACGTGCGCGGCGGTCACGCACGGAACGACGTGCGTATTAATTAAAGTACACGTCTCTCGGGCGCGACGTTTCGTTATCTACTCGGCAAACCGGCGTCTTTCTCGCAAGGAAACCTTCAAACGTATAAACGGTTTCTACGTAACGCCTTTTTAAACAAAACCAAGCCTTCGCTCTTCAGTTGCCGCTCGTTTTCGATTCGTGCCACCAAGACCGTCTTCAAATTGTATAGATACAGTCTTCTTTCATACGGTAATCATTATTTTCGCCTGAATCATCCTCTTTCGACAAGGAATAATGTCAGTCGTTTTACACGTGTATTTTTCTTCGCCTGTTTTAATGAAATACCGGAGAATATCCATCGAGTATTCGTCGAATGTCGCACGCGACAGTTTTTATTACTTATAATCGCACGAAATAACAACGTCGCGATCACAGATCGAAATCTGAGATCTAAATCATGGAGAGGATTCTGATATTTCGACAATCAACGCCAAAGCATTTCTCGCATCGAACTAAAAAATGATTTTATGGCGTATTTATTCTTTAAAACTATTAAAATGAATTATGTCACTCTGAAAAGTGGAATCTCAGTCTTAAAAGATTGAAAATTGAGCCATCTCTTTTTAAGATTGGTTTTACTCTTCGGAGTGCACTTCAAATATAATTTAGAAAGTACAAATTCCCGTCTTCTACCTGTGTCGTTTTCATCAGTCCGTAATGTTTCACAGCACGTGGTCTAAGCTATCGTAAAACCCGCGCGACAGTGTACGGCGTCACGCGAGTGCGTTGGAAAAATGTTGCTCTTGCCGATCCACGTTACGCAATGAGGATAACAGCTCAGCACGAAAATACAGTAAAACTTGTATAATCATGCGCTATTCGCAAACTATCTTCGTAACATATGTTATTCGCGCTGTTCACCTCGATTTTCAACCTGACGCAATCGTTATCTAGAGTATCTCGAACCTAATTCGCTTTTTTTTCTATAAATATTTCTGTAACAACAAAAATAAGTCAGGAATTCAAACCGGTTCGAACTAAATCAAAATTGATCGTGTACTGATGACAAAACCGAACTAAAAATAAAGTTTCACTTTTTAGAGTGAGATTCATTCTAAAAGATTAGAGAGTATATAATTACACCAGATTATGACGGAGTGTGTTGTACATAAATTTATCTCGTGATCCTATATATGATGTTAAAACTCGAGCGATAACGAGTCGTTTCTCGAAATACTCGCGATGTATGTACTTCCACAAATAGCCGCGTTGCAGCAGCTAGAAAAAGCAGCTTTGCAATTATTGCTATATAATTATTAACATAATAGCGCTCACTGAATTAAATGTTCGTGCTAATTATTATGAAAAGATCTTACAACAATAGTGCAAAGCTGCTTTTTCTGCTGAACGCAGCCAATAGCACAGGCGGATTCGATTTACAGGTCGTTGGCATCGCGTCGCAACTTCTAAGTAATCGCAATTGTAAGCTGCCGTGGATTTCGTCAACGACTATTCTACTACGACAATGCGAATTATTCACGAAGCGCAATATCACCATTCCAATTGTCTCCGATTACGGTCAATTATCTCCGATGACCCCAAAAAAGGAGATGGTGCTGCGAATTGCGATTGGTTCATCATATCAAGCCATTAATTGCTAGGTAACATATGTCAGAGTATAATACAATGAAGAATTCAAGAAAATTCACGACCTAATTCCGGCTAGGAATAAAATATGGAATGAGCATGCGCATTATATCTATATCAACGTGAAAGATCTCATTTTCCTTCATTAAATTTTGTTTCGCTCTGCCGACTAATTAGCGGCTTACGCCGATTTATGTTTACTTCGTAGACTACTGGCTCTGACGTTTTACCGTTTGACATTTATTCCACGGTGCGTTGGCAGAGCCGGAGGAGAGCAACTCTCACCCGAGCCTGACTGTTCAACCGTCCGGGTCGAAATTTACTCGATAGACGCCGCTTATATCGCGTCTCCATTTGGCAATACGACGCAAAAATGTCTTAAAAATGGACAAGCAGAAAGATAATTTTAATTATATAATATTAATCAGAATTCTGCTTGTCACAACTAGAATTCTAGTAGATTTAACAAAAAATTCTAATTCGTTTTTCTGATTCATTTTAATCAGAATCATAATTAATCCAACCAGACATTTTTTCTCAAAGCGCGAAGATAAATCTCTCCTGCGGCTGACGTTGCATATCGAGTGGCGAATAATTACACAACGGTACGTAATAATTTCCGACTCGTCGTTTTGTCATCGTCGCACTGCCGCGAATGTGCCACGGGAGACAAACGAGAGGTAATGTAACAGGTTTCGCGAGTATCGGAATGTTATACAGCGAAAGTAACAGCACTTCTCTTATTCGCGTACATATAAATTTTTTTTTTAAATAAATCTTCTGAACACATGGAGAAGAATAATAATTTTTACGAGATTAGTAAACTTGTTTACTATGATAAACTTGTATACCCCTCTGAAAGTAAAATATTAGAAATGCAACGTAAAGAGTAAATAATAAATTTTATTAAAACCACATTCAAGTAATTATCTTTTAGTAAAATTAATCCTACTAGTCTCAATTAAGATTGTAAACACAAACAACTCTCAAGACTTTATACACTTGTATATATTACCTATATTTTACCGTACAGTAAAATAAATTTTTTCAAGCTAATTGTAAGATGAAAAATACTCGTCGATAAATTCTATGGAGATATATGTTATAATTAATAAATTTACTTTACAAAATATAAAAAGTACATTATAGTACGATTATAATCTATAATTACGACGATCTTTCATTTATCAGAAAAGTATAAATTTTACAGTAGACGTTTGTCTCTATATGGAGACCTATTTCATTAAATTTACTTGGAATTCTAGCACGGTTTTAGATTTTTTCTCCGCGAGCGGCGGGAAACTTGTCGGCGATTTTCGGGACACCCTGTACAATGATATACACGTCAATACCGTAATGTTACGAGCGAGTACACGCCGGCGAGTAACAAATAACACGCAACGCCCGTCCGGAACGCGCAACCGAGAAGACCGGCCTCTCACCTCTTCCTCGCCGTGATCGGCGCGCACCTGTCCGTATCCGTATCCGCGTCTGTATAAGTTTTTTTTTTTTCCACGACGACGCGACGTAATGAAAGAAGCAAGGACACTTTATTCAGCGATCATGCAGAGTACTGACGGAGCAGCAATCAACCGCGACGCTGTTCGTCGTCGCAACTGGCCAGCCACCGGGACCCAAATACCCCTTTCTTTCCACTCGTCCGCCCGTTATCGTTTACCCGTTATCGCTCGCACGCTCGATCTTTATCGCGTTACAGGCGCGAATGAGATTCGCGATCGGCGTCGAACTGCGAATCTAAAGAACGACGATGATCAGTCTCGATCATCGCACGGAAAGCAGCGTGTAATGAAGAAAAAAAAAACAGCATACGTCATCCGAAAATCATCCTGGGAACATCTTTAGAATATCCACAAGACATAAGCGCACTACGTATCATACGTATTGGAGACTGAGAATTACGAATTAGAAATTAGAATATTCGACCGATCAGACTATTTTAATTTTAATCCATTTTGTTCTGATTGGCTGAATCTTCAATTCGCAATTCGAGGAGCAGACTTTCAAAATGCATTTTGAAAGCCTGTTCCTCTAAAATTTCATTTTGTTTAGTTAAATGTGTAAAATATTCAGTGTTGAAAGACTCATATTATAAGTTATTTTCAGATTATATTCAGGAATTAAGCATTTTTTCATTAATTTATATGCTAAAAAACATAGACACTTCGAAGTGAATGCACTTCGAATTTTAAGAATTAGAAAAAGATGATAATTTGAACACAAAAATTAAAGTTATTTTATATTGACAGAAACGGCTACTAGCTTTTTCTATTACGTGGAATTTCACGATGAGAATTCAGAGACAGAATTTTATCTTCTGTTTACAATTGAAACTCTAGAAATAAGATAGATGATTTGAAAAAAAATAGAATTAATATATTAGTAGTATTATTACTGCCGATCATTTATGACAATGATTACAGCCTGATAGTTCACTTATCAGCTATGAATAATTCACTCATTTATTACAAATATTACTTTTAATTGGGTCGAATTATTTCGGAGCAAATTCTACTCTAAAATTTTTAACATCCAGAATCGAGATACAAAAGGTAACGATCGATGACTTTAATATATGGAAAATAAAGCATTCTACTGTCTATTTTTCAAAGAAAAATAAAGTAACTATAAAATGCTTTTAGAATTTTTTCGCTCATACTCCTGTCGTTATTTGCCGTTCAAGAATGATATGTTTCGAAATAAGGTTTCTCTGTTGAGTCTGTATATATTACTTAAAGTTTTCCTTTTCACATATTTGTAGAGCTATCTCTGCATATATATCCACACAAATAAATATCCGCCGGAAACCCCTGGAAGACCCCTCGGGGTAGACGACACCGAGTGAATTTCACCTGTATGCGACGTGTCTTTTAATTCGGTTAACACCAACGGCACTTCCTTCGGGTACGAAAGAACATTATGTAGCGGGAGAAAATCGTGCGAGGTCGATTTCACGAGCTCGCGTGCCACCGTGAGCGGAAAGCAGCGGCGAGAGGACTGATCGCAGGGAGCCCCTTCTTGCGTCGGCCGACCCCCCTCGAACGTGCCCATCAGGTATCCATCGCTGCATCATAACGCTAACAATGAGGTGCGAACAGTGCACTGTTGGGAGCCGTTCTCTATGAAAGAATTTGTTTAAAATGGTAATACAAGAACACAAAAGTGGTTTTGACATTTTACTAATAGGAGCAATTATGAAAGGAAATCGTTCTTTTCGATAAGACGCGTCCATTCTTTTCTACTTTTTAAAATTTATATATTGTATATATTATATTATATGAAAAAAGGATAAGATTCTTAAACTTAGAAAATAAGAGTAAGTTGAACGGAGATTAAATATTTACATTAGTGGTATCGAGCCGCTTGGATGAAGAGTGAAACAAAAGATGATTAAACTTTCCTAGCATAGCATGTCAGCGTATAATACATGTTTCATGAGGTAAATCATTATTAATTACGTATTAAATACGTGTTTACTTTCATGTGTGTATTTAGATCTTTTATTTAAGCTTCATTGTACAATACCTATAGGAAAAGTATCACAAATGGCATCGCCGGATCGTTGAACGATGCAAAATGCGTATCGCACAATACCGTATAAAAAATTGTGTAACAAACTGTAAAAATGTAAACGCTCGTCAGAATTTAATTCAATATACGCATAATACTATAATCCATACTCATATACTTATCGATTACAAATTATCAATTACTGTCCCGTTAAAACGCAGGACGCTTATTTTGAAAATCGTAATATCATATTTTTTGTACAAAAGAAATAAATTATTTCCCGATTTTAGAAAGACTTTCGAAAATGGATGGAAATCATTCTCAAAGAAATCCCACGTCGTGATCAGAGTATTTCCGATAGATTGCACGTGTAGAGCCCGGAAAAAAATACCGGAAGTATAATCGACATTATTGATTCTTCTTTCAAGTTTCAGCCTTTCTATCATTATTAATAATCTTAGGAGCTTTGAATCCCAAAACAGGTGATAGTTCTCGTTAAATGTATCCCATACATTAACATCGCAAGAGATATCCTGCCTAAAAGCCAAGTACTCCAAAGATAAGCGTCGGTCGCCCAGCACCACTCGAATATTGTCTAAAGATAAAAATATCGCATAACAACATATTCCCCGCATCGCACTTCGTACAAACAGTAACAACATAGCGCACTTGTTAACAAAAAAAACTCAAATGCACTATAGAAAAGTTCAGTCTATATATGGAATCGTTTGGAATAACACATTTATACTCTCTAATTATGCTCGCATATTTCTAGACTCTTTAACTTAATACATTGTGGACAGGTCGCATCAGTTTGTGGTTTTCCATAAACATAAATAATCAAATAATATGTTAATTACCCATTTTTTACGTATTGCATAATAAGTAAATGATCTCTAAAAGGGCTTATATGATAATTATATATAGTAGGATGATTATATACATCACAACACACAATGGCTTATACCTTATCATCAATTGTTTTACCAGTCCATAATGTGTTAAGACACATACTAAGTATGTATATGTATAAGTATTTATGTAATTAAGTATATTTTAGGGTCTAAAATCTCTCTTAAAAATTCCGAGACGAAAGAAAATATTACATCACTGAAAGACTTCGCCAATACAAAAATGCTTATACTCTATTCGTTATTGCTTTAATATATCTGTATACAACATCCATATCAATTAACGTGAAACAATCATCTAAGTTTTATAAAAAGAGATAAAGAGAGATAAAAAGCTAACACGAGTACGTAATTTCGATTTACGAACGAGTAAAAGTTTTATGAGTTACGGGCAGCTAGGTGTAGCTCTGGTTGAATGATGAACACCTTTGAGACGCGGCCACAATTCGATTTGTCTTCCATCATCAGATAATTCCTCATCGGCACAAGCAGCTCATCGTACGGATCCATGTTTAATTGATATTCCTGCATGGCCCGGTACACGGCCTTGAAAGGTGGTTGTTTTTGCGAGTGGAACGTACCGCGGGAACCGTGCAACACCAGAGCACCTTCTCTCTCCGCTTCTGCGCATACTGACATGTACATGCAATGGTCGGGCCTGTAGTTGTACCGGCATGAGTATACGTATAGTTTTTCTGGATGGTAATGAAATATTATGTTGATAATGTCCTGATCACCCCAGGTTATCTTCAGTCTATACTCCTTGTGGATAGGAATTACGTAATCTGTCCATCGGAACTCCCTCATTCTCGTCAGATTCATCAGCATCACTCCTGAATTGACGCCTAGCTTGCCATAATACGGATGTTTGGCGAATCGATTGTACCATCCAGTGTTGGGATCCTCGTGCTCAGGACTGAGAGCTGCCAACTGACTGGAGTTCATTTTCTTGAAATTGTCCCAGACCTTCTCTGGTGGCGCTAAGAACAGGGTATCTGTATCTACGTAGAGCACCGCATCCGTATCATTCAGCACGGTCTAAAACATAATAAACGGTAAATCTCGCTCTTACAGAAAAAAAAAATGTCAGCTGAATAGTGATCATGTAACTTTTACCTTAAGACAGGAAAGTAAATATTTTCTTCTTACCTTCAATGATAAAATTTTTACCTTTCATGTTTCTTATATATAACTGTATATAACTATAGAAAAATAATACAAAGTATAATTTAAGCTATAAAAACTTGATAATAGAAATGAGACAAATTAGAGAAAAGAAATAAGGCAAGGCTAAAGATGAAATAATTAGAGACTTAAGGAATTTTTTAAATAAGTATTTAAAAAAAGCATGTAATAGAGATGGAGTAAGGACAGATTTTGTAAACAAAGTTTTTTCTCGGCTATTGTATACGTCAAAGTAAATGACATTCTATTTACTTTTCATGTTTCTTTAGAGAAAAAATTACACGATTGCTATCCTAAAATTAAATCAGATTCACTTACTGGTAGAAACAGTCGTTGAGCTGCACAGGGCTTAAACAACTTCTTCCACATGACCACATCGCTACCATCGGGGAAGGTGATGGGTCGCACCAGGAAGTCAAAGGTTTTATTGGATATGAGTCGCCACTCCGACAGCTTCTCGCTGAAGGCTGGTATCAGATTCTGCTCTGCCAGTATTATGAATTGCAGCGGCCTGCTGGCGAAGACCAGTGCCGATTTCAGCATGGTTAGGGCCTCGTGTAGCCTGTCCCCGCACACGACTACGCATATCGTCACCTCGCTCGTCGACGGGCTTCCTGGGGATTTCTTCGAGAGCGCCAGGCGCTCCCTGCTCGCGGGTGGCTGATCGTATAGCTTGTTGGAGAAATTGGTGGTCACGTTGAGCAGTATTATGAGCACGGCGAGAATAAGGCACAACAAAAACAACTTATATACAGATTTCATCACGTCGTGTTGCGTCGCGCTTTATCTCAAACTGAACAGAATTGCGTCGTGATTGATATACGACGTCGGCAGTGACCTGACGGCATTTTGGACCCCTTCTGAAAGCGGACGATAATCCACGACGTTTGTGGAACACGGCGGGTCCCAATATTGCGTCGTCAATGTTACGTCTTGCGTCTCAAGTAATGGCGAGCGCCATATTTACAATATAACCTCCGAGAAAAACGTCATAAATGCTCGTATCAAAACAGTCTGATATCTGAGAGAGGACATGAAGGCCTTTTCTTAATAACCGACAAATGCCTTGCGCACTACTGCCCTCTAAAGTAGTGGATGTAAACTATATACAGCAAATATCAATTTTTTTTACATTAAAAAAATCATTAAAATCTTTATTAATTTGATAGATTTTAATTATTTCAACAATTTCAGCGATTTAGACTTTGCGCACAAGGAGGAAATATTAGGAATAGAAAAAAATATTTAGATTTCAACCTATCAGATACCAGTTACGCCAAAATATACGCGATTTCCGATAAGTTGAAATCTTACTTATATGCATTATACAGCAATAAAACATGTTGAAGCATTCATAAATGTTGATACGATAACAAATGTTAACATAAAATATTGATTTTTACAACTAAAGTACTTTTTCTGAATTTAAAAATTCATAAAGTCGCAATTCTTAAAATATTAATACCTCTTACTTAATATTATATATTCTTTTATTAATACGTTCTTATAATTTGTAAATTTGTGTAAAACTTTTCAAATTTTATAATATAATATTTGTTCGGATGCGAATTAGTGGTTAATTGATACCGATTTTTTTTATTACACACAGATAAAGTCAACAGTTATTTTATCATCTACAAGAAATAAAGAATCCTGTTCAGTTATTACTGATATCAGAAATTTTCAGACACCTAGTGTGTGTGTGTGTTTAAAAACATGATAAAGACATCAGAAAGACGGTTTTTAGGATATATACATATGTCTAAGAGAGATCTCTAAAAATCAGAGACTTTTTAGGCGATATGTTGTTTATGTTAAAAATTATATTCGCACAAATTTAAATTCTCAAAAGAACTCGCTTATTACATAATATTGCAATTTTTGATGACTCTATTTTCTAGATAATATATAAGTGGCTGTTTATCACTTAAAAGTAATAAACAATTATTTTAACGGAATTTAGAATAATGTAATTAACTTAATGCTGTATAGTTGATACCAACATATTTTATTATCATTGAAATATTATCTAAGAGCTAACGATCGTGGTACGGTATGCATCAGGCCAAAAAAGTTCGGGTTTAAATCCTACACCTATCAAATTCTCACATATCAGATTTTATCTGATTGTCATCTTTCAGTAGGCAATAGCAAACCACCGAGAGTTACATCTTTGCTATAACAACCTCTTTTACAGATAAACCATTTGAATTTGGCATTAAAAACTATACACATCCCATATCAGTGGATATATGTAGAAGAGAAGTCACCACGTTTTCAATAAGAGACGATGAAAGGAAGAACAAAACTTAAGAAATGATAATTAATATTATCAATATATTTGTGATACATAATGATAAATAATGTTAGACAGTGTGAATTTGACTGTACTTCAAAGATATTAATTGCTTTTCTACGCTACTAATAAGCTTCCAGTCTACATCCTGATAAAATAGAATATCGAAATCTGGATGACTCATCATCGCTTTTAATGTCTTTTTTGCATCATTCCTGTAATTAAAAAAACTCGTTATATAAGAGTAACAATAGCAAACATTACTTATTGATGATATATTCGCTCAATAAATATATATAGGAATCAAAACTGCATTTTGAGATTTACCTTGTTTCGTTATTACCATCGAGAAGAAATTTGGCACACATTGTGAATATCTTACGACGGAGGTCTTTGAGATTTGGATTAGACAATAAACATTCCACTCCAATAATGGTAATAATATTATAAAGCAATCGACTAACGGTTGCCCTTATCAATGGATTCTTGTGGCTGCATGTAAAAAGTGCATAAACATTCAGAATACAAACAGTCTACGATTCACAATGCGACGATAAAAAATCAATTAATGTAATAGATATTACAATATAATTATTAAAGACATCGATTGAAGCAAAGATGAGAGAAAGTACATTCAATCACCTAGCACTGTGTTCATTGGTCAATATTCGAATACAAGTTGCGGGAGGCAGGTGTGATACCATGGAATCCAAGGCATGTTGAGCATCATTTCGGATTCCTTTGTTCGTATGTGTGCTTTTTAAAAGCAGCGTGGACGCAAGTTCATCGAATTCAGGCCTTTGAGTACACTGAACTGTCTTGTACAGTTCCATTGCTACCTGGCAGGCAGTTCTAACGACGTATGGCCTCGTATTTCGTAGTAAACTGCGAATATAATGACATTGCATTGTAGCGAACAAAGTACATGAATATACTATCTCTCTAAAATTTTTAGAATAAATATCATTCTGAAGGTAAAATCTCACTCTTCAAAATTGAAATTTGTGTTACTTTTTATTAAAACTGGCTCAGTTTTCGCTCTTTAAAGTGAGATTCCATTCTAAAGAATTTAGAGAAAAAAAATGCAATAGAAATGCTCCAATGACCTGCACAATGTTCGATATATACGAGGCATGTTGGAATCCAATAATTCCGGTTGAATCTTCGAAATTTGTGTCAGCTTTGTTAGAGCCGATACACTGCTCTGCCATTGATCCTGCTTTAAGCTCTGCATGGCATGTTTCAATGTTTCATATGGATTCGCGTATTCCTCTTGTGTTTCCACACAATCGCCCTCCAGCATTGATGAATAGTCCCCATAAATGGCCGTAGGATTAACATCCTTCGGATATTTATTACTGAAAATATATACATTTAAACATGAATAATACATCAACGTTTATTGGTATTTATATATAATTTGTATGTATAATTTGCTAATTCGATTTAATTTAAATAATTTGTCTCATGTTAAAATTTTAGTGAAATGCGAAGAAATTACACGTGCTCGATGTATTTGTCAGATAACGTGGGAAAACGTAGGTCGCCCGAAGCCCCGGAATACGCTTCAACAAATTGCGTTTTTGCAACTTGTGATGAATTTGCATTCTCATGCTGAATAGATAAGGAAGTCGTTTCCTCCGTCGCACGTGTGGCAGACTTACCTTTTTATCCAAGACAATTTTTATCACGAAATAAATACCGGCATTCATAAAAGATTTCGTAATCGATCAATATTATTCCTACCTGCACCTTTGCACATGGGACACATAATATATTTCTTGCATTCCGTATGCGCCATTCTATTATAATTTTTTTATTGTACTGCAATATACGAGGACTATGTTTTATAGAAATTCGATTATTTAATGTTGCAGGAATTTGTCTGCTGTATCCGTGCCTCTAAACGTCCATTTGAAACATGCAAGCATCGCTTGCACAACTTTCTATAAAAGTGCTGCTTTGGCATTTAGATAAATTCAAGTCGATATTAACATAAATTTGTATTAACGCCCGATATCTGCGCGCAATAAATTTGATAAAAATTTCAATAAAACGAATCGATAGAAATTACAATAACAGCAATAAAAGACAGCGATAGTTGAGCACTAAGCTAACAACAAAACAAAAACTTTCGTATTTTTTTTGAAAATAGTTTTCTTACGTTATAAGAATATGTACATTATATAATATTTGTTTATACATTATATTAATTATAGAATCATCTATAATTAAAAAGCGATAAAGCTATAAAATATAGCTCATTCGCATTTATCCTAATGAATAAGATAAAGTGGTCCTTCGATAAATTGTAAAATAATAAAAATTATTTCCCTTTGTCGAGAAAGCGCTTTTTGTCGTTTAATTACAATTTTTTAGTCAATTAAATATGGTCCGATGGCTGACACGTGTAGCATATCGTCTACCCTGATAGCAAAATGTTGCCACAAATGGGCAAAATGTTTGCGCGTAAAGTGGCAGCAAACTCGATTACATTTTGACTGCAAAACCATAGCCACCTGTGTCCGCATTTGGCTATGGATTTGACGACAACATTTACTAACATGTTTTGTAGCAGAGTTTGCTGACATGATCTGACAGCAGGCTCTACTCCAAATCTATTTCTGCATACATAGGCTTCGTTATCAGGGTAAGTATTAGATATACACTTCTCAATTCAATTACGAACGATTGAAGGAAAATCTATATGCATCATTTTCTTTCCACTTTATATCACACAGTTCCAATGTATGGAACTTTGTTTCGCACTGTATTTTGAAGTTCCATTTTGTTTCGCAAATAAAAAAATTTGACTATCTTTGTTTTTGAATGTCACGTATCAGTTCCGTGTATCACGACGGTGGTTTCTCTAGCGAGATATTATAATCCAAATGATCACAATGTATAGGACACTGATAATATGACACTGCACTAGCATGGCCGGATCTTCCTGATGTCATAGGTACTCCCTCGACCCATTGATCCTGGGTCGGGTCGTAAATTTCTACTATATTTAAAAACGTCGTACCATCGTATCCTCCTAAAAAAACGCCATATGTTTACATTATTTTTTAAATATCTTTCTAGAAAAACAGCTTTATTACTTCGACACAGATTAATAGAACCATACTTACCCATTGCGTATAGTTTGCCATCAAGAATGGTGACGCTAAGAGCACTGCGAGCAATGGTGACGCTGCTGACGTTTTCCCATATGTCGTGTTCTGTATCGTACCTCTCTACCGAATTCAATTGCGATTTCCCGTCGTATCCGCCTATAACGTATATATACTGGCCTAAACTGGCCACACCAGCTCCTGAACGACTGCACTTCATAGGCGATACCATTGTCCATTCGTCATTCTCAGGATGATAACATTCCACCGAACTGAGCCTGTTCTTGCCATCAAAGCCACCGATCGCGTAGAGCAATCTGTTAGGAACGATCGTATTTTTTACATTATACTATAAAAATTTACAATAATATATAACTTTTTTAATGATTACAGTGATGTATAAATGCATCTTTTATTTTAAAATAGAATGAAAGATGTATATCTTTTATGTAATATCCAGGACAGCCAGTTTATATTAGTAATATAATTACCATACTAAATATCACGTAGCTAACTATGATTTACTTAAAAATTTAAATGTAATCATTTGTTTTCATAAATAACAATTTGATTAACATTTTTATCGTTCAATGAGTATCGACGCTATAACAATTAGTAGTACCTATTTACTACCGCTACTCCTACGCCTAATCTCTTGATATGCATGGGTTTCACACTAGTCCACGTATCTTGATCCGGGTCATAGCATTCGACACTATTGTGGTATTCAATGCCTGCGCTGCCACCCACAGCATACAACAGGCCATCCATAACGGCAACCCCGACCCTGTTTCTCGGTACTGACATCGGGCTGCATGGTCGCCATTGATCCGTCATTGGATTATACCTGTCAACCCAGTCGCTGTCATACCTGAGAAAAATCATATAATTTTTTAAGCCATATTTCAAAGTTTTAGATCGGTTTTAACATTCGCATTTAAAGCTACCTGCGTAGAGCGGTAGGTTAACCATTTACCAATAATTTTTCATGCTGTTTTTTTATATATATATATATGTACGTCTGATTACTATATTTGATATATTGCAGAATAAATGTTTTGATTTTTTTTCTATGTTGCATTTCTATGTAGATCTCCATGAAAAATTAGAGTATTTTAGGCTTACATTTATCTTAAAGTAAATATAAATATATTATCTAGATTAGTCATGTTTTATATTTCTAAAAAAATATAATAAAATGGAGTTCTGTATAAATATAAAGATCACGTTTAAATTAAAAAAAATTTTCTTTGAAGAAACAGAATATATATGATAATTAGATACTTAAACATGACATTTAAAAATCTAAAAAAAAATTTACACAGCACTTTTTGATACCAAAATATAGCACCTTGGTTTTCGCAAAATAGAAACAAAATCAAAGACACAATTTTTATAAAAAGTTCTCGAATTTCAATAAAATTCCATAAGATTTCTTTATTTCCTTTATTTCTTTAGGTAGGAAAAGTTTCTTGAGAATTTGAGTTTTTCAAAATTTTCCAGGTAATTTTCCAAACACTTCATATTACAATTATTTCCGAAATGTCGAATACAATCAACGTCTAAGTGCTAACCTGCTTCCCGGTGAATTGTGTCTCCCACCAACTGCGTAGAACATCCCTTTAAGGAACGCACCACCCAAACCAGACCTAGGAACGATGAGCTTCGCGTGTTGCGTCCACGTTTTTTCGTCGGCGTTGTAGCCTTCCAGAACGTCGAGGGAGTGCTTGAAGAAACCGCCAGCGATATATATTACTCGCCGCGTGTTAGGCGTACGCTCTTTCACAACCGGCTTCTTATGCAACGTCAAGTCTTTAAAAATCTGCGCTAGATACTCGCGACACGCTGGCACCTTCTTTAGCACGTCGCAATTTTTCATTTGCTCCCGCAGAAAGTTCGGCGTAAGATATTGGCAGCGTACCGCGTGCAGTATATGTTCCATCTTAGGGCGCCTCGCTTCCTCGTTATACTTCACCCACTTCAACACGGCGTTGTAAACCTCTCTTTCCTCCTGTACATTCAACTCATCCTTTCTGATGAGCGTCACCAATTGTATGGCGGATAGTTGCAAAAACTCCTCCTCCTGGCATATCTGGTTGAAGTGTTGAACAATGAATTGATTTGCCTTATGATACAGATCGTGGCAACCATGCTGCTCAGCAAAATTGGCAATGCCAATCGCGTTCGTGGGATCGAGTTGTCTTTCCAGAAAAACACTACATGCATCTATCACATTGCTAACCTGAATCAAAATACATTTATCAAACGTTAAAAATATCAGTAGACATGAAATCATTATATTTATTAAAAATAAATGTATTACATTTCAAAACATTGCCAAAAAATTTCGCAAATTGTTCTATATTAATACGTCTGAATATCTGTATAAAATTTAAGCACAATTCCCTTATAACTTATTTAATTTTGTTAATCTTAAATCTTATGTAAAATCGTTAGTACCTATTTATAAATTTAATGAGAAAGTAATATTAAGAATTAAATCAAATTTTAAACATATACTGATCAAACAATAATAAATATTTTTATAAAAATGTATTTAGATTCAATTATTCATTTAAAAGTTATTGACCTAAAACTGCAAAAAAATATGGTTATATTTTGCTGCATAAAATTATTATAAATAAAATTATTTGTAACCGAATGAGACAATGCCACAACAGTCTAAGCTGGATCACGGGTGCTTCTAAATAACTGTGTGTGAATTTATAAACTATGAATTCTTCGATTGCGCGCCGAAATTTTTTCAGAAACATGCAACACTAATAAACTACCGCAGTAATATCACGAGTTAAATTGATTAACAATTTAACAATTAGTGATGCTTACGTATTTTATATCGATCTTACTAATGTTGAACAACCTATTAAAAACTGTAAATAATTATATAGAGAAACAGGGTAATGAGCCAATAAATTATGTTAAAAATCTTATTAAATTAATTTAATATATTGCGAAGAATATCACGCAATTGCGGCACGTAACGCGATCTCTTCCAAGGAGGACAGTAACAAGGAGACCAGTCTGCTGCACCATGCGCGACCTACGCCGCCAAGCCCAAGGAGCTCGACGGTTACGTCGGCTTCACGAATCTCCAACCAGGTGTACAGGAAAGCCGTAAAGAAAGGCTTCGAATTCACGCTCATGATCGTAGGAGAGTCGGGTCTCGGCAAATCCACCTTGATCAACTCTATGTTCCTGACAGATATATACAGTACCGAATATCCCTGACCCAGTCTCAAGATAAAGAAGACAGTTGCCGTGGAAATGAGCAAAGTGTTATTGAAGGAGAACGGTGTAAATCTCACCCTCACGGTCGTCGATACACCTGGTTTCGGTGACGCTGTGGACAACAGTAATTGTTGGGTGCCAGTAATATCGAGTCGAAATACGAGGAATTCCTTAACGCAGAGTCCCGCGTGACGAGACGACAGATCCCAGACAGTCGAGTGCATATTGCTGTCTCTACTTTGTCGCACCCTCCGGTCACGGATTGAAACCGCTCGATGTGGAATTCATGCAGCGTCTCCACGACAAAGTTAATATTATATCATACCTGTTATTGCCAAGGCGGATACCATGACGCCGGATGAGTGCGCACACTTCAAGAAACAGATCTTAACGAGATTGCACAAAAAATTTACGAATTCCCAGAAGTCGACGAAGGAAAGAATAACAAATTCCAGAAATTGTTAAGGGATAAGAGTGCCATTCGCAGTCGTGGGAGCGAATACAATTGTTCAACACGACGGGAAGAAAGTACAAGGAGAGAAAAGTATAGATTCCAATTCCTGCAAATGCGCGTCCTTACTACCATGTTTCGGAGCGCAATAAAGTCGCAATGTTCCAGATTTTCGACTTCTGCAATTCCCCATGGATATTTTCTTAATTAAATAAGATTTTTAACATAATTTATTGGCTCACACACACATTGCCCTGTTTCTCTATATTATTTGTTATAAACATATTGAGTCTTATTACAATGTACATGTAAATAATTAATTCTTCATTGCGAAAAATATTACCTCGAACCCGGATTTCTGGCATTTCGTGCGAGAGTCCTAAGCCTTTAGACTACCGAGGCTAATAAATACCGAGGCAAATAAAAAATTATTTGTTTTTCGCAGTTGATTTCAGAGTATACTGACGAATTGATATCATCAAAATGTTTTGAATGATACTGACTAATATTAGCTTATTTTAACTGATCGTTTAACTGACATTTTTAATTGATATTGTACAGTCAAAACATCTCTAATCTCTCTATTTATATCAGAAAATAAAAAAACAGTAACGTTATTATTATAATTTCCATTTAACAATATAAATGTAATATAACACATGATGTACGTACTTAATAGTTACATTGAGTACAAAATTATAATATTAACGTAATATTATACTATTAGTCTGTATTCCATGATCATCGATGCAATTCTTTCCTGTATAGGTATGTTTGTTTCCTCTAAAATGATTTATTTACATACCTGGAACATGGTAGCTGCTGACAGCAGTGAACATACAGTAATCTCAGTAACTCTTATTTGACCAGTATACATGAAGTACATTAAGCGAGCCATCGTAGTTGGACAGACACCTTGCAGCTTTACTCTTGTCATCTCGCATTCCTTTAATCCTCCAGTAAACATTGCCTGAAATGTTAAAGTCAGTCAACATCAACTAATAATCTTTATTTGTGGCATAAACTCCTTTATAAGTGGAATAGTAAAGTGAAACAGATATGTGTTTGAAATTTGGCAAAAGTTCTAGTGTAACCAATATATTTCACAACAATAAAAAACAATTCTGATAGCAATTAAACATTAGGAATACATTGAACCAATGTTGTATCAGTAATGCTCTTGTTCCTACTAATATAGATTATCTAACTTTAATCTTGATTTAATTAATTTTTCATCTTTTTCTAAGAATTAGGAAAAGATGAAGAAAGTAAGTTGAACCGAGATTAAAGTTAATCCACAATGAAATAGAAGCAGGCATAAATTAATACTGCTGAAGAAATCTCGAGTTAACGCATAGCACAGAGTGCCTTGTATTTAATGACACAAGTTGACACAAACATTATTCTTTTTTAACATTCAAAGAGACTAACAAAGGTAAAACGACTTGTATTGATATTCGTATCACTAAATGCAAAGTGCTTGATTTGCATACAGCTGTCAAGCTTACCTTAAAGTAGGGACTAGCTGCTGCTAAAATAACTTTATGCGCGTGAAACAGTTCGGTACCAACTTCCAGGATCACGTCAGTCAGCATATGATGACTGCGCATCATAAACATCATCTTCATAGTCTCCTTCAGATAGTTGGCCATGCAGAACGTCATGTCCCCGAGATCACCCCGCTGCCGCTCCGTGTTGAGCATGCCCTCCCAATCCGTTTCCTCCCCTGACGCGAACGGGGCAGCGCCCGGCGACGGAGCGTCGCCCGGGGCATCTTTCTTCCGTTGATAATCTTTCTCTCCATCCATTAAAATAGCGCTGCAAAAGCGAAAATTGCGCCTTTAGATATTTACATACGCTCGTGTCATCGCGCGCGCGTACACGCACTCCGCACGATTCCTATTCTTCCCTTCTCGGAACAGTCGGAACTCGGCGGATTCACGGAGCTATCACCCGTTCCCCGAGACCGCGTTTCCATCACATTCCGACGGCTCGACAATAACATCGCGATAGATACACCCGTTAAACCTGCAGCGTCTTCCGTATGCCTCAATTACTCGGAAACGCACGCCATGAAGCCGAGAGAAATTAAAGTGTCAAAATATAACTTCACTTTGACGTCATGAAAGTCAAAACAATCATTTTTCGTTACACACACAAAATGTAACCGTTTTATCGACGTTTAAAATCTTCATCGGAGATCAAAATAAAGTCGTCTTGTTTTTTTTTTGACTTTTGTGTGTCTCCTGTAAAAGGTGCACTTCGGGAACTTGAAGTAAAGTATAGGTATTTCGATATTTAGCGAAAGCGAGAAGAAGAGGTGCAGCGCGTGGTGCAGTATAGTGCAGGAATAAAAAAAACAGACCTATCGTGCGGAAAAGCCGCGAGGGCCGTCACGCGCAATAATAGCAGCGTAATCACTCATACATGGTGTCGCAGAAGCGTGTCGCACGTGATCGCGGGATGTTTCCAACAACGGTGAAACATCCGGTCGCGCAGATGATCGTCTCTCGCTCGCGTGTGCGCGCGCGCGCGCGTCCTCTCGACACACACATGGCACTTACCCGGCCTGCCCAGAGATCGCCAGGGCAATATCTACCTGCGTCGAGGAGTCACTGCTGGGCGCGCGAACGAGACGGAAAAACGCGGCGGACAGTAAAGCGGCGCGATCATGTTTCACGGATCGATCTCGCCGATGATACACGATGACGCAGGCATCCTCCACCTCCGGAGGCTTCGGCCCTGCTCCGACAGATGCAGCGTCACACACCGAGCGAACGACACCCGAAAGAAGACGCGCGCGAGAGAGAGTCAACAAAAAGAACTCGAAATGGCTTTATTTTGATTCTTAGCGTCAATAAACGATCAGACTTCGTGATGAAAAATGATCATCGCTTGACTCTAGCATGACGTCAAAGTAAAGTCATTTTCATGACTTTCTCTTGACTCGGCGTGTACAATTTGCATAAGCACGTGTTGTTTCACCGCCGCACGATCGGCCGCGGACGCAATACGAACTCGATGAGCGGCGCGGGCGGGATTCCTTCTCGTTGCCGCCGACCGCTTACTGTCAGTGACTGTCACCGTCGCTCCGCCACCGCCGCCGTCGCCGCTGCCGGCGGCGCGAAAACGCGAGATCGCTTCGTCACGATTTGTACCGTAGATACGCCGGTGTACCTTTGTCCGCGTCGCTGATAGCGGTCGGCCAACTGCGGTTGGCTGGCTCGGCTAATAATCCACCGCGACCCTGACGGTGACTCGGTAATAAATATATACTATATACGGCCGATGAATCGCGCGCGATGGACGGCGGGCGTGCAGCTCAAGAGAAATCAGCGGCGCAGAGAAAAGAATGCTTTTTCAGCGACTCCTTTGCTTCTTCGACCGCTCGCCGGTTGACGTCCCCCGAGATTTCAGCGAGCGCGACGGATCGGGCGAAGCTCTGCCCGATTCCGCGAGATTAAATGCCCCGCGGACTCGTTTCGCGTTGCGGAGACGACTCCGGGAAATCGGAGACGCGAACCTCTCTCGTCCGCGGATGTATACTTTGTGATCCCGCGAGATCTCCCTGGAGTCTTAAATATTTTTCATCCCGGGGCGAAAAAGTTTCAGCTGTCTGAAACCTGCGATTGTTGTCTTTTCTAAACGAAGTAAAAATTACGAAGCAAATTGGTCTCTATAGACAGTTTATGTTAATGGAATTATAAATATTCTAATAAATTTGCTCACTTTTCTCTCTCTCTCTCTCTCTCTTTCTTTCTCTTTCTCTTCTTCACCTCATTTCAAAAGATACAATAATAATTAATTTACTTCCTATAGAGATCGATTATGTGTGTATCTTGAAGTTAAGTAAAAATTAATAAATTAAAAATATTTATAATTTCGTTGATCAACACATAGTGAATTTGTTAATTCACTTTTGTGAATTTTCATTTCTTCTCAGGATACATCAGACTCTTCCAACAGAAGTAAAAACCGAAGCACGAGAAAATGACTGTGATCAGCAGAAAAAAAAATGCAGCTTTGCAATTACTGCAATTTTCTTTAATATGATTGGTTTATTACAATTATAGATCCATAAAGAATTAATTTTATATCATTTTAACAACTGCAAAAAGCTGCTTTTTTCTAATACGTGATTCCAGGTAGCAAACAGATGCTTTTTGGGCCAATCATGTGATTAACTTTTTCTTTAGAACGAAATATGAAAAGTGAAAATCTTTTTGTATGTATGTAACATGTATATATATACACATACAAATTTGTCACTTTTCACATTTTTACTTTTGAGAGAAAGCTCGGACTTACATGATCGATATACTCCGAACGAATTTTCCGCATCGTGCCGTAATCGAAGGAACACACACCAAGTCAGAGGAGACTTCAAAATGACTTCGACGTCATAAAAGTTAAAATAATCATTTCTCATTCCAGAATTTCGCCATTTATTAACATTAAGAATAAGCCGGTAAATTTGATTTTTTGTTGATTCGTGTGTTGCTTAGGTGGAAACGTTCGAACAGGACGACCGATTTTACGGACGCGACGATGATTATACATTCCGTCATCCTCTTATCCATAGCTGAGTATAAACGCGGGAAAAATTCCGAGCGCGTCCCCGTCCGCCCCGGAGTGACGGATCCGACCGTGAAACAGCAATCGTGACCGTAGATGACTCGAATGACTTGCAAATTCTGCCCGCTCACGGCCCGCCGGCTCGCCTCGATCTCGCGCGTAATCGAGCGAACGGTACTTCTTTGTCGCTCAGCCGCGCGAGTCATCAGCTGTTCCGCATCCGCGAAGTTTTTGGAGAAGCCGAATTAATTGACCGTTCGACGGGATAACCCGAGATACTCTGTCGTTCGATTACGGCGATTTTCTCGCGGGAAATGAAACGAAATGAAAGGCGAGAGAAAGACGGTGAGCGCGATGCTGCGTTGCCGAAAAATCGAATATATCCGTAACATATGCTACTGATAATTGCATTAAGCACGTTTATCATGATCGATGGGAAGAATTTTAACAAAGAGAAAATGACGATGATCCCGCGTTTACAGATAAAACATTCTTGCGTATGAATTGTTTTGAAATTTGTGTCGTTTTAAGTCACGTGGATTATCGTCACTGTTTTACTCGCACTCGAATATAGCTATCGAGGCAAATTTAATACGATAGATGATAACAGATTGCTGACAAAGAAACACGAAGAAATGAAATTACTCCGGCAATTTTCGAAATGGCGATTAAATTTTCGACGCGTGCTGCCATCGTTCGGTCGAAGTCGAAACCCACAGAACAGTTTACATGATAATTTCGATCGATATAACAATTTATACTTTGTAATACCAGAGAGAAACCTGAGAGCGGCCATGCCCGGATTTAGCTGTTACTTTCTTTTAAAGCGCCTCTATGTCCACAAAACGTGGACATTGAACTATGTAGCCAATGTCCACGATCGTGTCGGTAATGTCCACGATTTTTTGGTTCGAATCTTCCCTATGTCCATGAATTATCGATCCGTTAGTTAGACAAACAAAGACAGACAATCAAATGTAACTTAGCCCGTTTTTACTAAATATATGTAGTTATTAGTAATTACATAGAGATTTTGAATACATTTAAAACTTTTCCAATCATATATTGTGTGACAGTTTAAGGTTTTATTTAGCAAAAACGAGCTAGAGAGGCCCTCCACCACCCCCGTCGATTTTATCGGCGGTCCTCTTTTCTTTATAAATTATACTTACTCGTAAAAAACGGACCATCGTAAATGTAACAACAGCCTGTTTTTACTTATAAGTATATTTGTTGTTTTACATTTTTATATATATTTTTTATTTTTTTTTATTTTTTATATACATTTTAAATATAATATTTAATGCTATTTTTGGATATAATTCTTTATTCAATTTAATAATATAATAATTATAATATGTACAATAATTATGTGTATATTACAATAACAGTGACAATATATAATAATAATAATATTTACAATCATAGATAATATATACAATATAAATGCTGTTCAAAATACATGAAAAATCATATTAAGAGAGAAAAATCATATCAACATAATTAAAAAATTACATTATATAATATAATAAAGTGGGATTATACGAAAACGTCGAAAATACGTATAAGAACACATAATTTTATTAAATGTATAATTTCTAGAAAATACTTATAAATGGATATTAATTAAACATTAGCAGTAATTAAATCGTATTTGTTTTTATAACTCTTGACTTATTATAAAATTTATTAAGTATAAAATCTAATAAAATTTAATATATTTATCTTGTGATGCGCGCTGGTTAATATCCGATACAAAAAAGAAAAATCTTCATAGTAGGGAGCGAATTTAATACATTCCGTTTCTACGTCAAATTCATAAAATCTGTTCGCAAAGAAAAGTTAAGCAATCCGTCAAACAGCAACGGTCTTGTTATAAGATTTTGTTACAGGTATGAATCTTGAATTTTCCTGACCGTTTATGACTTTATGTGATAATTTTAGCAGCGTGTCAATTACAATTACCATTTTTATCGCATCTTTAGCATTATATTAAAATTTGTATGCGAGAAAATATATGTTCTACCATTACTAAAAATTGTAATCTTTTTTTGAAAATGAATGGATAGAATGATTTCCTTGTTGAATAGTAGTTACGAAGGAATATATT